AAACATAAGCTGTGAGTATGCCGGACACAAAACAAACATGCTAATGATTTGTGCAAGTTTATGTTTTTGTACTTTGTTGCAAGCTAATGACACATCAGATTCCAACCCTGTTCCTTTGAAGAAAGAATATTGGCACCCCTATTTTCAAGTGTCTAATGTGGATGAGCTCAGGCAGTTAAAAGCCAGGACCTTGAATATGTGGGCTATTTAAATCTGTGTACATCTAGATTTAATCCATGTGACGTTTAAAGAGAACACATAAAGTAAACCTCATTCTAAAAATGCTATCATGCTGATTCTCTGGCCTAAGGCTCCATTCACACCTATATTTTATGTGTGAATAGGTGTGTGATTTTAGGTATGTATATTTTTACTTACAAACGGCAGATTAGGGATTCCTGCTGCAGGAAATCGCAAGTTCCTGATGCAAAAATCCCTAATTGCACCTAAAATATTGGTGTGAATGGAGCCTTTAATATTGCCACATGTTATATTTGTAGATCAGAAGTTCTGGCTTCACTTGCTGTATGTTATCTTCAGAGTCAGGGACTCGGAAAACTGAAACCAGAGACAGCCAGGCAAACAGTAGATGGAGACAAGATGAGGCAAGGGAGGTCTCCATACTTCTCACGTTTGCCATTTTATGTTTCCTTTAAAGCAATGCAAATATTCATTGAGCATAATTTTGTTAAACAATTTTTTACACTGTCCTGAGCTCCAATACAATCAGATTTCTGCAGTATTGGTGTTTTAAATAGAAGGAGTGGAATATTCTATATCTGGTGTTTAATTTTTAAACAGTATTTTTTTTACAATATTTCAGTATGCTGTACAATTTGGTTGTCCACCAGCCCGTTTTCCCTCCCTCTGCCCATCTGTGAAGGTTATGGATGAGTTTGGATTTAGAGCCAACTTGGTCTGAACCTTAGTTCCTCTGAAACCAGAAGGAGCTCTTCAGAGCACGGAGGAGGCTCCTAATTCTTCATCCGCAGCTGCACATAACCAAAAGGGGCAGGGTGCAGTGATGTCATATGCCGTTACATAATAAGGTCAATTACATCAGCACAAGTATCCCACCCTTTGTTTATGTGCAGCTGCAGGGCAGAGAATGCTCCGGTCCACTGATGATTGGGAGGGTGGCCCCATGTAACTTCCAGGTATAAAGGAGCTCAGGTTCGACCTCCTAGACCCATCGAATTTAGTATGGACTCACACATTGAATACAGGTTCAGAATTATGATTTTTTTAATTTGGTGGGTACTTTCAGGTTATGGCTCAAGGTGAATTGGAGTTCACGTGGGTTATTATCATGTTGTTATCAGTGCCGGGCCATCTTGTGTCCAGATCTGTTGAGTGCTAATTTATTGGTGATCTGCAATTATGCTTGGTTGACTTTCATTAGAGCTTTATGAGACCCCTCATAAACAGCTAGGCCAAATATAAACAACTGGAACACTTTGAGGGTTATTGTAAAAGCTGGAAAGGGCAAGACCGGAGAATGGGAGGAATCTTTAACCTGTAGACCATAAATGCACAGATATGCAGTATATTTTGTATTTGATTCAACCATATCAATATAAAACTTCCTAATTGGAACTGGGATGCTCACACCTCATTACCATCACAGCACTTATCTTGTTCTGTACACTGGATGTTATTCCCAGTATCTGTTCTTATTCTGTATGTATGGATGTGCACAGTAGCATTTCTCTTGTTCTGTATGTCGGTTGTAATTCTCAGTATCTTTTCTTAGTCTATACATGTTTCGACGCTGTACAGTAGCTCTTCCCTTGTACTGTATACTCAATATTATTCTCAGTATCTGTTCTTATTTTGTACTCATGGACACTGCACAGTACATCACAGTACGACTTATCACAGTATATCACAGTACGACTTCTCTTGTTCTGTATCCTGGGTGTAGTTCTCAGTATCTGTTCTTATTCTATATGTATGCATTCGATTCTTGGGTTAGATTCTCATTTGATAAGTGCACTGTACAAATTTCTATGTCTGCTTATCATCTCCTTTTTTACGGTGTGCATGTGTAAGTCCTCTTTTTAAACCACAACAGTTTAGTCACACCAAGTTTTTCCTGCAATGCGCACCACCTACTTAACAACCTGTAAACTGATCTACCATGCAGATATCTCTGCATGAAGTGTGTCGGTACATACAGTCTAAAGAACGTACAGAAGAGTTAAACTGAGAGTCAGGCCATTGGCAAACCGATGCTAGTAAGGTGTCCTTATTTTGAATACAGGAGATATTAACCAGCAGCAATAAAGTTATAGAGAAATCACATTTCAGGAATGTGTACAATGGCAACATTGATGTGGTAACTCATTCACAGCACATACTTATTTATTGGATGTGTTTAATAGTTATGCAATCCACTCACCCTGATACAAATAAATACATGTATACAGACATTATGTGATGATGACTATATCACAAGCAAATACATCATATGCAACCATTTTATATGTCTGCAGTCCTTATGCCACCGTTGCCTATATAACACACCTGCAGGTTTACAACTTTCTACCGCCAGTCACTTTGACACTGTCCCCATTTGCTCCCTCTATGGTTCACTCACACTGGGGTGTTACAAGTTCTCCACATGCTGAGCTCATTAGGACTGTAATGTAAATTGAGATGAATACAGAGACAGCCTTCATCATTAGAAAAGCTACCAGGCGACATATGCATTATATGCATTTAATAACTAGAACATGTTGTATCTGCAAATGGGAAAATGAAAATGAAAATTTTCAAGTAGTCAAGTAGCATTCTATTCCTTGCATTGTATTCAAATAATACAACGAACAGTGTGATTCTTTGCAATTGCAGCCTCATATCTCATTCTCTGCAGTACTGAAAGATCACCAATGTTGGGAGTATCCAGCATCACTGAGGAGATGTTTTTACAGTACCCAGCAGGGCACAGATTCCTTACTAGAGGAAACTTATGTAACTGGTGCTATAGCCCCAACACATTTTATGCTGGAGTTCATCTTTCGGCCCCATTCACACCTTAGCAGTGTCACCAGTCCCGTGAAGCTCAAGAAACTACATGACCTTCTTTTGGGATAGAATGGTCTATTTGGGCTCATAGACTTTAATGGCAGTACCTTAATAACACTTTAAAAAACACATGTTTATGTGTGTTTTTCAGGAGCTCCAATTTATTCTTACATAGACTCCCAAAAGCTCCCATTGACTTTCTTATTGACTCCCAATAGCTCCCATTTACACTAACATAGACTCCCAAAAGCTCCCATTGACTCTCACATAGACTCCCAAAAGCTCCCATTGACTCTCACATAAACTCCCAAAAGCTCCCATTTACTTTCACATAGTCTCCCAAAAGCTCCCATTTACTTTCACACAGACTCCAAAAAGCTCCCATTTACTTCCACAAAGACTCCCAAAAGCTCCCATTTACTTTCACACAGACTCCTAAAAGCTCCCATTTACTTCCACAAAGACTCCCAAAAGCTCCCATTTACTTTCACAAAGACTCCTAAAAGCTCCCATTTACTTTCACAAAGACTCCTAAAAGCTCCCATTTACTTTCACATAGACTCCCAAAAGCTCCCATTTACTTTCACATAGTCTCCCAAAAGACGATTCGTACGATTATCGCAAGGTGTGTGGAAGGCGTGCAACCGGTTTTACTGTACGGTCGCACGACTTTTATCTTAGAAACATGTTCGAAAACCCGCCGACAATCGTACGATTCTCGGCGGGTGTGTGGCATGTTCGTAACATAAAATGCCGCATGGGCCGGTGTGCGCAAGTACACACTGCCCATTCAGCATTGCGGTCATCGGAAGCCCACCCCTCAGCAGTGCGGGCTTGCGATTATCGCAAGTACGATCTGTCTGTCCAAGATGGGTAGATTGTACGTTTTTAGGTCTTGCGATGGTTGTAAGGTCTGTGGCCAGCTTTAATCCTTGTTCACACTACGTGATGCGAACACACGTTTATGTGCATGTTTTGCCACATTTGTCTTGTGTCACCCATTCATTTCAATAGGTGCTACACATGCAACAAATGTGGCAAAGTAGCTCATGCAGCATTTTGAGCTGCGAGCATCTCACGTATTTGTGCCATGTAATGGCACCACAAGTGAGATGCAGGTTTGGAAGATGTTGTGTGAATTCAATGTGAAAGCCACACACCAAGCCAATTTTAGCTGAAAGGGCTAAGCACTTCAACGCTCAAACACAGGCTATATCTATTGTTTTCTATTGTTTCCCTTTTCACATCTGAGTATTCTGTCCCATATTGCCAAACAAAAAAAAAGTCCATGAGCTAATTTTTAACAGAATTGAGTGTTTTGGCCCTGTTGACTTTAATGGGAATGCCTGTAAATGTGCAAATGCAGGCATTTTTAAGTATTTTGGGGGGTTTTTTTTTGCATTTGTTGCACACTTTACCCAAACAAGCAGCTTCCCTCCTCCTTAACACACCTGAACCTGATTACTCTTAAAATAAACACATTAAAATGCTAAAAGAGCCTGAAAAAAGCCTAAAAACCGCTGCTGATGAAGTGTGAATGGAGCCTTAGGGAATACTATGAAGGACACTGGATGATCTTCTTTCACATAGAAATGCCACATTTGTCACTCCATCTCTATACAACAACATATTTTTAAAAATAAATGACATAAGGCAGGGTTAGGCATCTCCGGCCCTCCAGCAGTAGTGGAACTACAAGTCCCATGAGGCATTGCAAGACTGACAGTTACAGACATGACTGTAGGCATGTTAGGATTTGTAGTTAAAGCTCAGCTGGAGGGTCGGAGTTGCCCCAGACATAAGTAATATAAAAGCAAGCAGCATAGCAGATACATTCTTATAATCTCTGCAGGCATGTAGAAATCTATGACAACAGGAAGCTAGCATAAGTACAGCCCAGGTCCACAGATGCTGATGCTTCACTCTGCTGGGGGGCCTGCCGTGTTCTACAGACCATAGTCAGCCTTCATTACCTTGTTAAGATGCGGGTCCCGGGTTATATCATAGCCTCTCTTCCTGGTGTACATGAAAGTCTGGCTGTCATGCTGCTCCTTCCCTTGTTGATCCTTTTTTACCACCAGAGAAGACATTGCTGGTACTGGTCCAGACAGCAAGCAGTGGCAATGAATAGCTGTAGTAATATATGATTGCACTGGGGCTTTCTCTATTGTGAGTTGTTGTAATGCTAGGTGTGTGTTGCCCGGTGTTAGTACTGACAGAGCTGAAGCTGTGAGCATCAGCTGACAGATTGTGTGTGACACTAAAGGACAGGAGGAGGGAAGTGCTGAGTCACTCGCAGCAAAGATAAAGTGCTGAGCTCGCTTCAGCTTGCCAAGCTTTCTTCAATTTTATTCTTACTTCCAAGCTGTAAACTTTTATAATGCTATTTTCATCCTGCCATGTCATCATATTTGCCTGGAACTGTTAAGCTGCAGCCTACGTTGGGATGGAAAAGTGACGTGCAGCTCTACAATCCTTACTCTGTTAAAGCGAGCACGTAGAGCAGGCCGCAGAATTCCTTCGGGATGTAACACATAATGAATTGTGTAGTAGTGTGGTGGATACACCTATGTTTTGCTTGCAGTAGCTTTACCTATTGTTCCAGGAAATGCTGGATGAATGAAATGTGACTTACTCCATGTAACACTGTACACAGGGGACAGAGAGTAATCTACAATTGGCCAGATGTGTACTAAATTATATAAATACAATCCTTATTCTATGATCCAATCATTGTGGGAAACTATGTGCAGTAAACTCTCAGTTAACCGGTATTCAACTAACCAGAGCTCTCATCTAACAGGATAAAAAATCCCCTGTGCAACTGTTTTACTGATCTGCGGCATGTATTATTCTGGAAATTATCGTGTGTTTATTTGTCTTAATTTGTATTAGTTTGCGTTTAATTACTGCATTTCGATATTAATATGAAGTCAATACAGAGTTTATGGTATGGTATAGTATGGGGTATGGTATTAATTAGACTTTTTTAAATAGGAGCTCTCAAGCAACCAGAAACTGCATTTATCCGCAGTCTACCAATCCCCCATGGATGCCGGATAATGGGGAGCTTACTGTATATTTATTACAAGTATTTATATAGTGCGGACAATTTACACAGTGCTTCATGTTGTACATGTTGTTGTATCAGCCCCTGCTCTCAAGGAGCTTACAATCTAAGGTCCCATCTCTCATGCATACATAAACATACTAGGGCCAGTTTAGACTGGAGCCAATTAACCCAACAGCATGTCTTTGGAAGAAAACTCACCACACAAGCATAGGGAAAACATGCAAACACCATGCAGATAGTGTCTGGACTGGAATTCAAACTTGGGATCCACTAAGCCACTGTGCTGCCTACAGAATTGGCATTGAGATTGGTTCCCTTCGGGAACTAACCCACTCATATTCTAAAATCTTAAATTTTATTAAACTATTATTAACTTATTATTTTTAATATTATTAAAAGTTATTTTTTATTATATTAGTGTGTTGCACCTGCACCTATTTATCATTTTCTGAAATCAATAATGAGAACCGCACAGAATGAGAATTAATTTCTACATTTTGTTTTAGATAGTATTTTTCCTCTACTCACTATCTCTTAAAGTGACACTAAACTCAGGATTAGTTAATTGTATTGAGATTGTAGTCCATCACGGGAGGGAGCTTGGAGTGGTGGCTACTTTACAAAACACACAGGTACCATGGGGAACGAAAGTAGCCACCCTCCAGAAGCATGGAGAGTGTCAGCACCAATTCAGAGATGATTTGAGGATCTACAGCCGAGTGATGCACAAATAAGATACATTTTTGTTAATAGTTAAGGTCCTTGAATACATTTTTAAGGTTTAACTCCTGAGTCTAGTGCCACTTTAATCTGTTTCTACAGTCTATACAGTATTAATTGTCCTTCTATTTATACTAAATTCCTAATTCTAAACTTAGCTCCCTTTTTAGATCATCAGTTTTCCTCTCTATTTCTTCTACTTTTATATTTGGTCTCTTGTATTTACTATCATTTTCTGCTCTCAAACTCTCTATCTTACTTCCCTTTTTTTAACCTCCTCTCTACTGCAGAAAAAAACAGAAACTTATTATGCCTCATTTCCTTCGAATCCCTCTCTCAATTTTTTTTCCGACCTCGTTTTTCATATATATATGTTGCCTGGTGGCTTTGTCAGGAGTTACATGCTAACATTTTGTGCCACTTTGCTGATATAGTACATATGCCACTGTCTATTTTCAGCATGTGCATGCGATTACATGCATGCATGTAAACTACGCAGAAATACTGACTGCAGGTGCAGAATTTTCTACTGAATGCAGCACAAGGCTACAGGGCACAATGTAAATGTGTATATGGCCCATGTTATACAATACTGTTGCGTTCCGATCCGTGAAAAAAACTCCACTCTGTATGGATATGTACGCATCATTTTTCATGCCTGTGTGTATGAGTCCTAAAACTATCTGGCATTGCACAATTTCCCAGAACCCCCAGCGGCAGAAAGTTGCATTCCATCCGCGACTACTGTTATCTCTGATAGCCAGATATTTCTAATATACTGTAAGATTTCTGTTATCAGACTGATCAGTTTTATTACGTTATTGAGCTAATTATCACTTGTCCTTTAGCACTATATGACCACTTGTTATATTTGAAAGTATCTTTTATCTTTTAGCAGCAAAGGTCTACTGAAAGTGAATGAGTCAGTACACACATTTACTAGAAGAAGTGTTAGCTTAGCCAACACTGTGTCACATTAAAGTAGGGATCCAAAACTTTATAGTTGAAGAGGCTGCAGATCCCCAATCCTGTGAGGCAAGCACAGACTAGTTATAAATCAAAAATTATGTAACTATGCAAATATAAATAATGCAAAATATGTATATGTGTTAAAGAACAATGATACCTTTTATCAAATTTGTCCTTTAAAGGAGAAGTATTAGGAGAGTAAAATGTACTCTTCCCAATATTTAGAGCCGCGAGGGACACTGCAGGTGTCACTTATCAGCTCTATAGTTCGAGAGCTGAGCGGTTACGAACTGCTGATCACTCAGCTCAAGATCTTCTCCCTGCAGAGAGTGGTGAATGCCAGTCACCTCTCCCCGCAGGGATCCCCCTCCCCTCTCTCTGTTCCTCCAGTGTTCATTGGAGGAACAGACAGGTAAAGGGGCGGGCACAGCTGGCTCTGGCTCTAGAGAGGCAGAGCCAGCTGTCAATATTATCGGGATCTGTCCTGGATACAGCACAGCTCTGCACTATCAGCAAATAGTGGGTAGTAGCCCGCTATATGCAGACTTTGGGTCACATGAGTACATTAGTAAATGTACTCCTTTGATGCAAAAGAGGACTAAAGCCAAATAAAGGTTTGACTTTAGTTCTCTTTTAATTATCCCCACCCCACCCCCTTGAGTACTTACCCTTCATCCCGGACCAGCAACCTTTTCTCCCACAAGGTCCCAACCACCTCCTGCTCATACTTCACATGCGCACTGCAACAGTACCAATTTCTCCTAATAGACTTTGTAAACATGGGTCCACCAATTTACATACACAATATCAGAATGAGGATTGTTAATAGGAGGAATAGAGAAAATTGCATTCTAATACATAGAGGGTACTCTGGAGGAAAGGAGGGGGAAGGGGAAGGGAGGGAAATCTGAATGCCTTCTTGACCATGCACAGATCGCCTTGTTTTCTCTGAAAATACAAGGCTTTTTGTGAATGGATGAGGGGAGAGGCTGGGTATACAACTTAAGCCCTTCATTGCCACAGCCGCTACTCTCATCCCTGCAATGCTGGAAGTTGTATACATAGTACATAGTATACTCATTATTGGAGCTAACTTATTTACATTAAGCTGTTTGCAAAATACATATTTTTCACATGGGAAGATTTTGATTAAAATGATTCCTCTGGTGAGAGAGTCTCTTTAACTGTGTTGACTGTTAAAATTGAAAGTTGGTACTAAGATGTGGATGAGGAGGCAAATTCTGACTCTTGAGATGGATAAGGGTTAGAGACCAATACCTTTTATAATGAGAACACATTATTTTGGAACTTATTTTGTCATTGGTTCCCTTTATATGTGAAATCCATCCAACAAAATGTGTTATTTATCTAAGTATATGCAGTATACACTATATTCTTTGTGACAGAGAAAAGGGACAGAACAATAGTCTGGAGGAGTCTCCAAATTAAAAATACATGACATACTAATTCACGTGTTTGACCATTTGCAGAAACAGATGTACAGATGTTCTGTAGTGTTTTCCATTAAAAAGTTTATGCAAGCCGATTTTAATATACTATGTGGTTAGCACTGTTTATAGTTACTGTTTGTATGTTTCAGAAAACAGACACAATAAGATGCACGTTGTTTTTATTTAACCTATTTTGTCTATAGGACTATAATGATAGCGATAACCTGGATTTATGACTTCACTGTCTTTAAGAGGTATCAGCTATCAGACATCCAAAAGGACTTTTGTTTTGGTAATCTTTTTATTATTATTTATTTTTGGTTTTATGAGATAAAAAGAGTACAAAAAAACATCACAAGAAGTATTCATGGGAACAGGACCATGATTGAGTACAACTGTTAACATATTAGCACTTAATCCATTACAGTAAGTTATAGCTGTCACATTGTGCACAACGTGGCCCTCCAGAACATGAAACACAATGGAGAAACTATAAAAAAAATACACACATAATGAGAGCCTTCTGCAAAGAATCTGGACCCGAGGTACCGTAAGAGGAGGCCATCCCAACTCAAATTGGATCTAAACAGGTGATATATGTTTACTAACAGGGCTGTGCCAGTTGAGGCTGGCTGCCGCTCAAGGTGGCCATTTTTGCTGCTCCCCCCAACACACACGTACACATACAGAGGCAGTTACCAATGTAATGTGGAGCCTGTTAAAAGATCAGGCTAATCATCACTGAGTAAAATACTATGTTTGGCAACTGAATTTATACTGAAGAACAACAGATTTTGGCTATACAGAAAACTCACATCACTACATCTTATTTGCCTTATACCTATCCTAAGTCTGAATAGTATAATAGTATTTTCTACAAAGTATCTAAAAGGGTCTGTAAAATGCTTGGTGTGTTAAAAAGTTGTTGTTTTTTTTGCAGTTCCTTAGCTGTAGCTGTGCTGGCACTGTCCTTCTATCTAGAGGGTGACTACTTTTGTCCCCCCATTGTCCCTGTGTGTGTTGTAAAGTAGCCA